GTTTGATTAAATATTGTTGCAGAATCAAACAAACAAATATGGCTCTGAAATATGAGTAGAAAAGAACATCAATATCCATCCAAATATATATATATATATATATATTACAATTTCAGTCAAAAGATTTATAATTTATTTCAAATTGCAATACAAAATCTACAAATTAATCAAATGCGTGATGTTATGCAAAAAAATTTTACAAATCAATATACAAAATAATAAAATTAGAAAATAAATATACAATGAAAATGAGGGGTTTGTGTTATTTGATTAATGATTTTGAGGTTAGGAAGACATTTGTGTAACAGTAAGGTAATTTTTAAACACATACTAGCGAGTTGAATAAGTTTGTAGACGGATTGATAAATTTTAAACCACAAGCAAACCAGCCCCTTGATTTTTGTCATATAACCCGCTCAATCCAACGAACTCACCCTTTCAAATTGCACCGATAGATTTTAGTCAATTTGGATCAGATGACACTTTCTTCTTTCTTTTTTTCCCGAAACCCACCCATGGGTAAGTATAATACAAAAATATCCATATTGCAAACACAGCACAAACTGCATTTCTGTGAGAAAAATAAGCATAAATGAGATCAAATATTTTTGTAATGCAATCATGGATATTATTGTCATATTGTTGGGGTTATGCCCTCACGACTTTAAAACACATCATTAGTGAGAAGAAATGTAAATTCACTTTTACTTAACCCAAAATGTTTTGCTATGATACACTTACTATGAGATCATCACAATATCATTAGAGGGTTTCTTATTTTCCATGATTTTAGAACAATATTATTCCTCCTACATTCAAAATAGTTCCCTCAAAATTCCCCAATTCAAAAGGAATATGAGCTAATACAACCTTTATAAAGAAATATAGCACACCCACACCACATCAATTAGAAAGTACTTTCTATTAGAGAAGTAAAATTAGACTTGCTTGAATTTCAGATGAACAAGAGAGATAATGTTTTATCATGGGAAGAATATTAATGCATAACTTGTGGAGAAGGGGAAGGGGTGGTGGGTTTTGTTACCATAAAAAAGTTATTATTATTATTCTTAAAAACAGTGCTTTTTTCAATTTATTGTTCGAACTAAGTAAAAACATGAACAACCCTTCTTAAAAATCTTGTTTTGATGTTTAATTTAGAATAGAAGTATGTTGTTAATAGTGGAAGTGTAAAAAAATGGTCATTCCTAACGCTTTGTTATTGAAATGTGCATAAACATGTGTTTACTTATTATATTCGAACGCAATTTTAAATTTTTCAATCCTATTTTGAAAATAAAATTTAGAATACAGAGAGTGAAATTCTGTAAAGAACAACGATATCGGTCCAATCCTGAACACTATCGCCTGACACAAATTATTTAAAACTCATACTTAGTTAAAAGTTTAAATTTGTAAGTGGAGTGCTCATTTAGATGTATATTAAAACTTATTCCTCTTTTACTCTTTATCTAATGTGAAACTTTGACACATGTTTCAACAATGTGTACCATTCTTATAGTAAAGAAGTAGCAACCATCGGCTGATGCAAATGTTCATGTACCTTTTGTTTCCATGAAGTCCAACCCAACCACTTAACCAAGTGAAACATCTGCGTCCACATCCACATCCACGTCCACGTCCATGTCCATGACCACATTCAACAGAGTAAAAAGAGACAAGTAGTAGTGTTAGGCAAAACTATTATTGTGCTTTACAACACTAGCAATGTAAAACTTACAATTAAAAGTGCAAAAAGTAAACACTAAGAAGTGCAAGAAGCAAACGCTAAGAGACAAGTAGCAGTATTAGGCAAAACTTATTATTGTGCCTTTCAACATTAGCAATGTAAAACTTACAGTTAAAAGTGCAAGAAGCAAACATTAATTCGTGCGAGATTGTCATTTCATCCTTGGTGGCAGATGATGCTTTCGGCTCCAACTCAACACAACACAACACATCTCCAAATTGCGTAGTGATGACCCTGACTAAAAGAATATTAAGCCTCTTCAAATTAACACCTTTCCTATATTTGGTTCAATAACAGAATCTTAAATAATAATAATAATAATAACAAAATGAGCAACTGTAAGTGATTTAACCTATTTTTGTCCCAGAAGCATTTTATAGAAATAGTTATGGGCTTTAATACATGCTCTTCTACAACAGGTTGAATACTTTATTAACCTTTGTCAAACTAAAGTAGAGCCCTGTTTATGATTTTTTTTTTCCCATTCCATCAATTTCACATTAATACAAGTTTGCACCTCTACTAAAAATGTTTTCCACCTTTCAAAAGTAGAATATGTTTTCAACCCAATAAATGTTTTCCATTAGTTTTTATTTTTTATTTTCCAAATATATCAAACGTCAAAAAACATTTTCTGCCCAAATAAACCGTCTAAAGCAAAATGATGAGCCCACATGACGGAAAAGAGAGCTCTCTCTCTCTCTCTTGACACACATGATGTACATTACAAAGCAATAATGTATGAACTTGCTTGTAAGTCTAAAAGAATTGAAAGGCATAAATACATATAGCAATAAGTTGGATTGTCGAGTTTGGTGACTATACAACTACCTTGAGTCATGTTCCTTCTTAATCTATGAAAGCTCTGAATTCACTGACTAGGATCCTCATAATTCTCTTAACTAATCCTATACTATCTTTAAACTTGGAAATCACCTAACCTCCTCACTAATTACTGTTTAGTGCCAAAGGAGCCAAACATAAAAAACAAGGACTTCATATTGTAACAAAACTAAGACTTCATTTGGCACAACTTTTGGACTATATTAATATTTTTTTTTAAACTCAACGAAGGATGGAAATAAGTCAAAATTTATCGGCAAAGCCTAAAAAAACAGCTTATTTTTATCTTTAGTGGAATTTTTCTAATTTATTTATTTATTTACTTTTTTAATGTTTATGATCATCTAGTCTACATGGACCTAAAATGCAAAAAAAAACTAGCTAAAGTGCATCCACAAAGAAGCCAACTCATAAAAAAGAAAGCTCCCAAACCAAGCAGGAGCAGTTGAGCGTCCTTTGCAATTCCTGTTTCATGTTGGCAGCCAACATGCCCACCCACTAAATTTTGTACCAAAGACAATTCTAGTACTGGGGCCATAAAAAACCAATTAGAAAAAGAGCATCTTAGGTAGACTTTTCTCAAAGGATGTATTTGCAAGCAACTTCAAGGAAGAAGAACAACTCTTGTCATTCTGTATTTATGTTCAGAATAACTTTTTTATTTGTATATCATTACATATTAAAACAGTCGCCCTATCCAAGATTGTCGAACATATATATTTTTTGTGTGAACCCCACACTTGTTACAATTCAAAATTGTTTGATCATTAAGTTTTTGGGAGTCTACCACGGTATCCACTCTCTGCATCAAATGTTCTGCTCAATGTATGAAAAATATGCACACATATTGTTTGTGTTACGATGTCTAGTATATATATGGATGTGAAAAAAATAAAAAATAAAATAAAAAATTAGTGCTTGGGCATTTAGTTTCAACAAAGCAATCTTCCAATATCCAAAAGACTCTTCTTCATTCTCCCACTAAAGCCACTGGCACTTTCCTCCTTTCAGAAAAGACACAATAACAGTGAATGCATTTGAAGTAGGTGAATTTTGACATTACTTTTGAAACTAAAGTAAGGATTAAAGTGCATCATAAAGGCCATTGTTATTTGCAATTGCTTCCAACCTTTCGTCGATTGACTAAGATGACTAAAATTGCATATCTTTGAAAGATGAAAAACAGGAAGAAAGAGCAAAGTTCAAGAAGAAACAAAAAATTCAGCCATCATATCAACGGTTCAAAACAAAAGAAAGCAATGAACTTGTGAAAACAGAGGATTTTTCAAAACATACAAAAAATAAGATGAAAAGAGAAGCATTCAAAATCCCAAAACTAGTTCCTTACAGAGAGTATAACCAGTAATGCAACTGTGTCATCTCTGTGATATCCTTGAATAGTGACAAAAGGCGAAGAAATAGCTAGTGGTCAGCTAGAACCTAGAACAAACCAACTTGTCTGTACACTCTAGCATCTTCCTGGAAACACTACCATGACATGAACTCATTTTCTTCTTCCTCTGGAAGAGCAGGAAGATTAAGATCAAGCAGATCAGGAACCTCAGAAATCTCTTGCTCGATTACTGGGATGGTCTGGTTGCTTTTCTCTCTGGACTCTCCAAGAAAATGAGACCTCTTGTGACCTCCTAAAGCTTGGCCTGACTTGAACATCCTGTGGCAAATTGGGCACTCATGTCCTTTGCTTTTCTTTGACTTCAATCTTTTCTCTCCATTGCACGCCAAATCTCGAACAGATTGCTTCTTCTTACTATAAGAACCGATCACAGTCCTCTTTCTAGAATCAAACTTGATCGAATTTGAAGCGATTCCACTTTCATCATGTCCTTTTTCCTTGGAAAAAAGGTTGTTTGTCGATTCAGTTCTCTTGCATTTCACTTTGTTTAAGCCTTTCCCCAGTTCAGTATCAGATACCTTAAATCTAGAATTAGATCCACCTTCAATTTTATGTTTCTTGAAATTATCATTGGTCAGAAACCCATCAACAGAAACATCTGAATCGACCTTCTTAGGTCCATTTATGAAGTACTCAGAATCAGAATTCTCAAATTGAGTAGCCTCCTCGGCATCAAAAACACCAGATTTTAACTTCCCTTTTACTAGTTTCTTGATTTTCGCAGTCTCATCGCGGTTATGGACCCAATTCAACCCTTTCTTTCTGCCAATTCTCATGTCAATGGATGATGATTTAGTCTCTAAAACCACAGAATTGTTATCTGAAGACTCCGCAACTAAATTCACACCAACCCAGTTCCCAGAATCCCTAGACAGCATCATCAAACACATAGCTACCTCTTCCTGTTCATGATCAATCTCAAAAACAGATGAAGACCCATTTAGCAAATAAGAAGATTTGACAGCAATTCTTTTGTACCTCACACTTGATGATCTCTTTGCCCCACGCCTTGGTGCCTCAGCATCGGTATCAGAGTGGCTATCCATCAACAGCTTCTGATTCTCACTAGTCCATGAATGATCATCCTTCAAAACCCTCTCTTTCTCAGAGTGACATGCCATGTGACCACACAGAGCTTTCAAAGATTGAAACCCTTTACCACATTGTTTGCAGACTCGCTCTTGATGTAAAGGCAAGTTTGAATCTGAAGCCCTCCATGTTCTCTTAGGGTTCTCTCTGAGGCCATACCCAGCAGCAGAAGCAGAAGCAAAATGCCCTCCAAGTTCAACCCCTGAATCCTCCTTACAAATCTTTCTCACATTGGGCTCAAGTTTTTCATCTGAATTTGCATTTACATGATGAGACCTCATGTGACCCCCCAAAGACTTCCCACACGGGTACCTTTTGTTGCACAATTTGCACACAAACCTTCTCAGTTCCTGATCATCTTCCATTTGATTGATTATTTGATTAGATCAGTAAAAACCAGAGAAAACCCAATACAGAAAACAAGATCAGTTAATCATGTGCTAGTTCAAACCCTCCAACAATGCTCTACATTTCTTGATCTTATACCAGGAAGAAGAGGACACAAATGATATAGAAACAGAACAGAGGCACCCAGAAAAAGAAACCCAGATCAGAAAATGAAAGAACCGAGCTTGGCGAGCTCAAATCTGGGAAGTGGGTTGGACACAGATCACGAAATTGATTGGTTTGTTTGGAATGATCAGAAGAGATTCGAAGTGGTCAGATGTGGCAGTTTTGCGAAGTACAAGATCAGACCCACATCGAAAAAGAGACCCTTGAATTCCATTTCTGTGCTCTCTCTCTCTGTCTCTAGCCCCCTCTTCTGGATGTTCAAAATTTGAAAGAACTCGGCAAAAAAAAATCAAACTTTTGAAGAGATGGGTCGCTAATGATGGCGATGAACAAGCCTAGGAAGGAAGATAAAAACAATTAGTAAAACAGAAACCATGACCATTTCTCTCTCTCTCTCTCTCTCTCTCTCTCTCACTATATATATATCTTCTTGTTTGCGTTGTGTGTGTTGTACTAGTTGGAAGGAAAATTCCATGCATGGAAACAAAGATTAGAGAAGGGAAGAACAAATCAGAAGATGGGCAGCACGTGTAAGGCTTGAGAGTGCGTTTCGCTGTTCAAATCTGACGGTCAGGATTTGTGGGACGATTTTGAAGATCACTAGTTGTGAGATTGACAATGTAACTTGTGATATATGCATATACACTGAAACTAAAACGCTTCCAAACTTTGTGTGTGCCCATCCCATGTCTTTGCACTATAAAAAGTCACACATCCATTAAAGCTCCGAATCTTCAGCCGTTATTGTTCGCTCAACTTCTTCCTCATTTTGCCCCCGTTCATCCAATTCATGAGAGTGATATTACTCACTTTATTTACAGGAAATTTTTTAATTTTTTGAGTTGTAATTAAAAAAGTATCATAACTAAACATAATATATAACTAAATATAATATGAGATATAATTAAAATAATGTTATAATTAAAAAAAAAAATTAATCATAACTTAAAAAGAAAATGACATAATTAAGAGTACATATGGTACACAATTTTTAAAGGGAGGTATATTAAAATTTCTCTTTATATATATACATATATATATTAACATTGAGTGTAAATACAATGTATTTATAATTATACTTTTTACTGTTTTTAGCAATTTCGTTCAACAATTTTTGAATTGTTTAGTTCAAAAAATGTTTAGGCAATTTGATGAAAGGTAAAGGTGGTGAAAAATCAAATTTTGGATTTCCTTACTCAAAGGTTCAAGCGCTAATTTATGGGAGCCTCTATTTGCACACACCACTTCCCCTCTCCTCACACACTTAATGACATTTTTTTATTACATTTTATCCTAAAATAAAATTACTAAAATATCCCTTTTTTCTCCAACCAAAACCCCTTTCTTCTCCAACCAAAACCCTAACCCTAACCCTAACCCTAACCCTAATACCCAATACAGAGCCTCCCCTCCGATCATCTCCTTTCTCCCTCCGTCGCCTCCCTCTAGCCTCTCTCTTCTCGAATCGAAGCCCCACGCCACCCCATCGTTCGTCGCTCACTCACCCTCCCCACCACCCCGTAACCCCTCACTTCAGAACACAACACCGTCGCCGCCGCAGCTCCCATCCCTTCGCGACCCTCAATTCTGCACACCCACAGAGAGAGAGAGGAGAACCTAAATCTGAAAGAAGACGAATTTGGTTCGACTATCAACCTCCGAAACCCCATTTTCGCGACTGTGAGAGAGAGAGAGAGATCGAGGAGATGAGGTGGGGGTCGCAGTAGTGTCGCCGGTGGTGGAGTAAGGGGTGGGGATGGCGACGGGAAGTGAAAGGGAACGGTGGTGCTGCGTCGCCGCCGGCGAGGTGGTCGCCGGCGAAGTGGTCGCTGGTGTGTGGATTGGGAGGGTTGGAAAGTTGTGTGTATGAGGATATAATTGGAATAAAAGTGTGTGTAATAAGTAAATTTTATTTATTTATTTTTTAAAGGTGTGTGAACTGAGAAGGATGTGTAAAAAGTGGAATTGGTGTGTTCAAATAGAAGCTCCCCTAATTTATCATCTCCATAAGGACAAGCTACCGCAAAATGACCAAAACACCCCTCTGCCACCTCGCCTCTCTCACGCTTTTATTTCTCTCTCATTTCACCCCTCTCATTTCACCCCTCTCATATCTCTCTCTCTCTCTCTCTCTCTCTCTTTCCTTCCTCTACCAATCTCAACTGTCGCCATTGTTTTCATCATTGCCATCATCGTAGGTATCTCCATCATCTCCATCATCCCCATCATCACTGATCTTAGTGTCACTCACAACGCCATCGATCGTCGTTGTCTTTCCCTCATCTCTCCTCCCTTCCTCATCACTTTCTTCACAACTTCCGGCCTCCTTACCTCATATCTGAGCTGAGGTTAAGGTTTTAGAGCCCCTTACCTCAGATTTGTCGCTGATCAGCTTAATCATTTTGAAACAATTCAGTCTCAACAAGATTCACATCTTGGACCCAAAGGTGTGGATTGATGTCGGTGTCACCGAAGTTCTAATACTCCCCAAGACTCAACGACGAAGACTAAGAGCAAGAAAGTTAAGAAAAGTTAGAGAGAGGAGAATTTTGTGCGTTCATCGAACGCTTCGAGTTTCTCTCATTCCCTCATCTGTCGCTTCTCGCTGCTCGATAACCCCTCTATGACTTAACATTTGTGATCAAAGACTTATTCGTAGCCCTTTAATTTGTTTATCATTTGAATGTGTGTGTGCGGATAGTGTAGATTTATATATATGCTTGTAGTTATTGTTGCTGGTGTATTTTTCAGATCTGAATAGATCACTCTTCAAGTCCAGATCTGCTTCTTCTTTAGATCTTCTTTATCGTCATTTCTCTCTCTCTCTCTGCATTTTTTTTTCAAACTAGCATCATTTTACTCTCTTTGATTTCAACAAATAGTTGTAGTTATAGTTATAGTTATAGTTGTAGTTAATTTTGTTGTTGATGTTGATATTGATGATGTTGTTCTTATTGCTGATGATGTTGATGAAAATGAAATAAATTGCACTATTTTTTTGGTTCTTGTGTTGAACAAATGGAAAAAAGAGATAGAGAGAGGTATTTGAATAGATAGAAATAATAATAATTTTTTAACAGATAGGTATTGCAATAGATAACTCTCTTATCTTTCTAGCAATTGCAATAGATAGATACAAAAGTTCAATAGATACAAAAGATTTAACACCAGATAGAGTTGATTTGACAGATAAGAATAAAATTTGAATTGAAAAGATGAAAAATTGACCAAATAAGGGAAAAAATTGAACAAATAGAAAGAAAATTGAACAAATAGGCAAAAAATTTGACAGATCGAATTTTATTTGAACAAATTTTTAAATAGATAGGGAAAATTTGAATTGAAAAGATTAAAAATTAAACAAATAGGGTAAAAAAAATTACAAATATGAAAAAATTTGAATAGATAAGGAAAAAATTTGAAGAGATAGTCAACGAAAGTCAACTGATAAAAAAAATCAGCAGATAAATTAAAGGGTAAAATTGGAAACAAAATGTCTTTCAAAATAATAAAAAGGATTTTTCACCAAACTATTTCACAAATGGTGAATCTTTTACTAAAAAGAAAATATTCACTGGACCTAATGCATTAGACACCCTCCAAATTGGATTTCTCATAAAATTTCTCTTTGATGAATGATAAAAACTATTTAACAATTATTGAATATAATAGTTATTGAAAGTAAAGAACATTACTTACCCCCCCAAAAAAAAAAAAAAAAGAAAGAAAGAAAAAATGGCACTCGGTCCAAAAATTCAAATCTCAATTTTGTTTGGTCAAAAGTCCAATTGCTGAAATACTTTGTCCAAAAGAACAAACTTAGGTTAGGGGTGTAACTTGGATTGACTCAACCCGAGCAACCTAAGCCCAATTCGAATTATTTTTTGGGCTTGGGTAAGATATTTTTGAATTCAGCATGGGCTCGAGCAAAATTTCAAAAGTCCGAATTAAATTTGGGCAGACTTGGCAAAGACGTCAAACAATTCGAGCAACCCGAAACTCGAATTATATATATATAAATATTAAATATAAATTATTAGTCATTACATGATATTTAAATAATTTAGATCATTAAATCATATTGAATATATATTATATACGTAAGTAATATAACACAAAATCATACATTTTTTTATTCTCACTCATAAATTATAAAGACTACCATTCTGACATATTTCTTACATTATATAAATTATTTATTTTGAAATTATTAATGATTTTCTAAGAAAATTATAAATATAGTATAATTTTAATAAATTAATAATTTAGCTGCACAAAGAAAAAAAAAATTATAGGCAATTCAAGCAATTCAGGCAACTCAGACAATTCAAGTTTTACTTGAGCTAGGCTTGGGCAGAGAGAACCTTGGGTTACAATTCGTGCATGGGCTGGCCTGGCCAAGTCTTAATGCAACTTGGGCTTGGCTTGGATGGTTTCTCAACCCTATCGAACAAGCTTGAATTGCAACCCTAGCTTAGACAAAATGACTAAAATACCCATATATATATATATATTATACATGGTACTAAAAAATGAACATCACACACACATACTCTCTCTCTCTCTCTCATTTGCGTCTCTTATTCATCACCCTCCTCCGCCTCCGCTGCGCTTCGCCGCATCCACTGCTCCTTCGTGAGGCAAATCTAGATCCAGATCCCATCGTCGACGACGTGTCTACCTCACGATTAATAAGGGATCGAGATCCATACATCTATGGTGCAGATCATCTCGTTATCGTTTTAACTCATTGCGAACTAGTATCTTTAGTTGTCTCACCTCTGTTATGGCTTTCCCTCAATCCGCCGTCAACGAACACATCGTCGACAACATCCCAGGCGTCCTGGGGATGTACCAGTCAAGAACTCCCTCGACTGCAACATCCATTAGAACTATGATCTCCTCATTTGCCCCCACACCTACATCGTCGACGATGTCCAACTCCTCATCCACCATTACGTTCTCGCCTTCCCAAGCATCCCAAAATAAGTCTCCAACTTCATTTTCCCACATTTTTTTTTTGTATATATATATAGAGAGAGAGATATGTAATGTATATAAATATCTATATAGGTTATCAAATCTGTGACCTTTGCCCTCCAAAACCCTAGCCAATCTTTGGATTTATAGATACATATATATATATATATATATCCAACTTCAATTTTTTTATTTTTATTTTTTTAGTTTATCATCACAGTAGCTAAGATCAAGACCCTTTGCTCTTGTCTTTTCCCCATTCAGGTACTCTCTTTCTCTCTCTCTTCATTTTCTCTTGGTTTGATCCAGCTAGGGTTTCATTTTTTTTGTATATAAATTTTGCTCTTATGCTTATGCTTTGACAGATTAATCTGTCATGTTCTACTCACCATTTCGATTAAGCTGCTTCAATTTTGAACAGATAAACAAAGATCTATTTGAGAATGAGATTGATGTGGAGATTAAGGGAGAGGAGGGCAGTAGAGATTGATGTATGAATATATGTGAGAATGTATGTATGTTGGTGTATATAAGAGAGAGACATCTAGAGAGAGATTTGTTGGTGTTATTGCTGTAGTGGATAATTCCAACAGATAGAGAAAGAAACCCACAAATTTTAAAGCAGATAGAGAGAGAAATCCATTGATTTTAAACAGATAGAGAGAGAAACCCACCGATTTT